ATAGCGATTAGTTATATTATCTTCTTTGGCAAAATAGTATGAAGAACTTTTTTGGAAATGTTCTTTAATTTTAAATTTTCTATTAATATCAATCATATTTTCAAATATAGAGTTGAATTTCGATTCATGTATTCGAATAGTGTTTGATTTTTGTTTTAAGAAATACATCATATTTATTTCGTCGCAAACGTGACTCCATTTATTGCCGTATTGGTAGAAAAAGGGAACTTTATAGAGATAGTGGATAACGTCATCGCCAAGAGTGTGCAAATGATTGAATCGAACATCGAAATATTCCAAATTGTTGGGCAAATGACTTATCGCCAGAGTAGTTAGTTTATTATAGGATACGTCGAGTTCTTCCACAATACTATATCCTGGGAAGGATTTGTGTGGCAGCTGCGTCAGATTGTTGCCTTGAAGTATTAGGGATGTGCTTCCATTAATTGGAATTGGTAAAGGCGGTACCTCTAGCAAATGTTTTCCTAAACAATTTATAAAAAATTTATAAGACTTTCGCTCGTATTGGCAATGACATGGTTTCGGGCATGGTATATCGTTTATCCCAATTGTAAAGTTACAAAACTTTTCTCCTTGGTAGCATAAAAAAGAGGTTAGATTCGTAAAAGGTATTTGTCCAAGACGATCAAATTCAATTATCTTTAGTTTTGAGAATAGGGGCAAGTATTCCATGTTTTCTAATCCATTTGTATTTAAAAATGTTAAGCAACTGAGAGTTTTTTGCAAAGCTTCCGAACTGAAATTTTTTTCAAATGTTTAGGACAAAAAATAATAACTGAATTCTTATTTTACTCTTACCCAAAAAAATCTAAATTGTCTAAATCGACATCTTCGAAAATTAGGTATTCCAAAATTGGCAAATCATTAAAGTGTTCGGCAGCTAAACCTTCGACTTTTAATGAATCAAACTCTATTTTCTTTAATTTCGACTTTCCTTTAAAGAAATTATCCAAAATGCGAAGAGTTTGTTTATGATAACTATGTACAGAAAAAATTTTAAGTTCTGTTATGTTCACGGCACTTCGTATATAGTTTTTTATAATCAAAGAGTCCATGTTGATATTTAACACTAATTTTATGATCAGCTTTTCCGGTCCATCCATGTCATGAACTTCCTCTTCCATTATATTTAAGAATGGAGAATTTAATATGAAAGCTCTAGCTTTAAAAATGCCAAGACTTTTCAGATAAATTATTCCAGGAAAAAATCTTGTATCATTCGGATTTTCTAGTCCCGTCACAGATAATTTATAAATTTCAAAATCCTTTTTCCACGATATTTTTTGAAGATTCCACTGATTAAAGACTTTGGCAATCCAATGGAAATTGGTAACTAAAAAATCATTTTTTATTCTATAATCCGTGGTAGTCACTATATTATTGAACACTTTGCAAGTTTTGTTTAAAGAACCATTTTCACAAGGACCGCCACAATATAGTAGACAGTAGTCATTTCTCACGTTGAATGGAAAAATTTGAAAAGGGAAGACGGAAATTATATTTATTGAGAAAACCAAAAAATGTACTATAAAAATCTTGTAAAACATTGTCTTGACCTCACTCTGGTTAAAATCGGAATGATTGGCAAGCTAATTTTTCGGTTTCTTTATACCTACCAAATAAAAAATGTTCCCACAGGAAAACGGATTGTTTCCCTAGTGATCGTTGAAAATATCATTAAAACAAACATAAATTTAATGGAATAAAAAAATTTAAGAATTATATAATTGTCTAGAATGAAAAATTAATGTACGTAAATCAACTTCTTATTGCAAATTATTCTTCTTATTGTGTTTAATTTTAATTTAAATTATTAATATTTTTTTTCAACTAATACAATTTTCTTGCTGTGCAGTTCAAGATAACAATGCTTATATTTAAACTACATATTACCAAAGGAACAATAAGGAAAATGAAATGGCTAGGCTTATCAAAATAATTTTTATAATTTCATGTGTATTTTTGTGTTCTTTTTGCCGTAATGTATTTTTTGCGCAATTAAAACAAAATACCAAAAGCATGCAAAAATAAACGATATTGCAAATTTAATGTTTCTGGAAATTGTAATTGGAGTGTAATATAACAAGAGAGGAAAGACAACTTCTTTTCTGAAGACAACCAAATACTTTTTCTGATTGTTTAGTTTTATGGCAGCTGTAGGATATAGTCCCCTATATGGCCTACAGTGATGGCTATATCTTTCCCAATTCCCATCCCATTTCTGAATCGATTTGCCACCATTCTGCATCAAAATCCTGAGACAAAATATTTTTTAGATTTTTTGTCCATTTTTGTGATGGGATTCCTTGAAAATGGGGTTTTCCCCTATAGGGCCCATTGTGATGGCTATATCTTCACCAATTCGCATCCGATTCTCAAGCGGAGTACCTTAAACGATTTCTGGATCGATTCGCCACCATTCTGCATCAAAATCCTGAGACAAAATATTTTTTAGATTTTTTGTCCATTTTTGTGATGGGATTCCTTGAAAATGGGGTTTTCCCCTATAGGGCCCATTGTGATGGCTATATCTTCACCAATTCGCATCCGATTATCAAGCGGAGTACCTTAAACGATTTCTGGATCGATTCGCCACCATTCTGCATCAAAATCCTGAGACAAAATATTTTTTAGATTTTTTGTCCATTTTTGTGATGGGATCCCTTGAAAATGGGCTTTTCCCCTATAGGGCCCATTGTGATGGCTATATCTTCACCAATTCTCATCCGATTCTCAAGCGGAGTACCTTAAACGATTTCTGGATCGATTCGCCACCATTCTGCATCAAAATCCTGAGACAAAATATTTTTAGATTTTTTGTCCATTTTTGTGATGGGATTCCCTTGAAAATGGGGTTTTCCCCTATAGGGCCCATTGTGATGGCTATATCTTCACCAATTCTCATCCGATTCTCAAGCGGAGTACCTTAAACGATTTCTGGATCGATTCGCCACCATTCTGCATCAAAATCCTGAGACAAAATATTTTTTAGATTTTTTGTCCATTTTTGTGATGGGATTCCTTGAAAATGGGGTTTTCCCCTATAGGGCCCATTGTGATGGCTATATCTTCACCAATTCGCATCCGATTATCAAGCGGAGTACCTTAAACGATTTCTGGATCGATTCGCCACCATTCTGCATCAAAATCCTGAGACAAAATATTTTTTAGATTTTTTGTCCATTTTTGTGATGGGATCCCTTGAAAATGGGCTTTTCCCCTATAGGGCCCATTGTGATGGCTATATCTTCACCAATTCTCATCCGATTCTCAAGCGGAGTACCTTAAACGATTTCTGGATTGATTCGCCACCATTCTGCATCAAAATCCTGAGACAAAATATATTTTAGATTTTTTGTCCATTTTTGTGATGGGATCCCTTGAAAATGGGGTTTACCCCTACAGGGCCCACTGTGATGGCTATATCTTCACCAATTCTCATCCGATTCTCAAGCGGAGTACCTTAAACGATTTCTGGATTGATTCGCCACCATTCTTCATCAAAATCCACAGACAAAATATTTTTTAGATTTTTTGTCCATTTTTGTGATGGGATCCCTTGAAAATGGTGTTTTCCCCTATAGGGCCCATTGTGATGGCTATATCTTCACCAATTCTCATCCGATTCTCAAGGGAAGTACCTTAAATGATTTCTGGATCGATTCGCCACCATTCTGCATCAAAATCCACAGACAAAATATATTTTAGATTTTTTGTCCATTTTTGTGATGGGATCCCTTGAAAATGGGGTTTTCCTCTATAGGGCCAATTGTGATGGCTATATCTTCACCAATTCTCATCCGATTCTCAAGGGAAGTACCTTAAATGATTTCTGGATCGATTCGCCACCATTCTGCATCAAAATCCTGAGACAAAATATTTTTTAGATTTTTTGTCCATTTTTGTGATGGGATCCCTTGAAAATGGGGTTTTCCCCTACAGGGCCCACTGTGATGGCTATATCTTCACCAATTCTCATCCGATTCTCAAGCGGAGTACCTTAAACGATTTCTGGATCGATTCGCCACCATTCTGCATCAAAATCCTGAGACAAAATATTTTTTAGATTTTTTGTCCATTTTTGTGATGGGATCCCTTGAAAATGGTGTTTTCCCCTATAGGGCCAATTGTGATGGCTATATCTTCACCAATTCTCATCCGATTCTCAAGGGAAGTACCTTAAATGATTTCTGGATCGATTCACCACCATTCTGCATCAAAATCCTGAGACAAAATATTTTTTAGATTTTTTGTCCATTTTTGTGATGGGATCCCTTGAAAATGGGGTTTTCCCCTACAGGGCCCACTGTGATGGCTATATCTTCACCAATTCTCATCCGATTCTCAAGCGGAGTACCTTAAACGATTTCTGGATCGATTCGCCACCATTCTGCATCAAAATTCTGAGACAAAATATTTTTTAGATTTTTTGTCCATTTTTGTATGGACAGCGTTTCCCCTCTATCCCCTTTATTCCTTCAGGGATTCCCGAATTCTCCTGAGGTGATCTTGATAAAGAATATATATCCTCTATAGGGTCTGAGATGTCTCCTTCACAGCGTTGCACACTTTTAACGCAAATTATAATAGCCTCTGCAAGGGTATACAAACAAAGTTTGTTTCTTTTTAAAATTTTATTGTAAGCTAAAGACAAAATTTTGTTTTTTCAATTTTCCGCCATTAGTTTTTTTGCCTGGAACTTATATGACATCCCTGCACGGAACGCTTATCATCCCTTTGAATAGTCTTTCCAGTGAACTAGCTCCTTCAGGGATGTCATATAAGTTCCAGGACTCTGGTAGTTCCGTTTGATTGAAAGGGATGAAAAATGCTTCAAAAAAGAGTGTCGTATTCCTGAGCTTGTTTAGAGCCTTGGGAAAATAGGGCGGAAAAATTTAAAATATAAATGTTGAAGACAATACAGAAATTATAGAATGCGTTTAATACCATTTATGTAAAAATTTTAGCAGTCTTATTTCTTAGTGTTGAGGTTGAGTCTGCCTTGTGAGCTTCTCGTGCGGCATTGAGTAGATCAGCTTGTTCCAGAAATTCGGGCTATCCCTTGCCAAGTATGTATTGAGCACCATATACGCCCTCAGTTCGCTGTCCAGGTCATCAAAGTTCTCCACATCCGGATAGAGGACAACTATCAGACGCTTGCAGCGATCCTTTGCCGTGGCGTGCAGGGCCAATCGGAATTCGAGGCGACCCCAATTGGACTTCAGAAAGTTGTTTGTCATCAGGATAATTATGCGCCTGGAGTCTTTTACGGATCTGTTAATGCACTCGGGAATTGACTCACCGACTAGCCAATCTCGAAGATAAAAGCACAATCTGAACTTGTGGCTCCCGTTTTCTAGACGCTCCACAAACTCCGCAACGAGCTCCTCGTCCTTGTGGGTAAAGGACAGGAAGGCATCGAATTTTTTCTCCAAATCGAGCTCCCGACGAACAGCCAGACTGAGGCATATTTCGTGTTCATAGAACCAAATCAAAATGGGTTGCCTGAAGATGACCAACAGGTTAATCCCCAAAATTAGAATCATTAGGAAGGCGGTTAAAGTTGCATAATATATTAGAGCCGATGGACAAATGTCACTCACTTCTACGCCAATTAGGGAATGTCCTGTTTCCCCGCAAATCATTGCTGCAGAATCAATAATATTCTCAGCATTTCCCCTTACAAACTTCAGGAACTCTTTATGTTCACAACTGCACGACCATGGGTTTCCCTCCAGAAACAACTTCAATTGGGAAGAGTGTATTCTTTTAATTAGAAAGTTACGTATATCTTCATTCAGTACGGAAATATTATTTTGACTCAAGTCTAGATAAATGAGTTTACTTGGTAACTGGTCGATGAAGGTCAGCTTGTTGTTTGCCAAGGAAAGATGTGCCACATTTTCGAAGCCCGGATGGGAAATGTTGGGCAGCATTTCGAGTTCGTTTTTATCAAAAATTAAAGTTGTTTGGCCTGTAGTCGGCAAGGGTAATGGTGGAATATCCCTTAGGCCCCTTCCACTGCAATCAATATTAAAAGATGCTGAGCGTGATTTTTCCTCACAGCAAACACACGATTCAGGACATTTTCCCAAGGTTAAATTGCTAATTTGTAGAGCTTTTTCGTACTCTGCGGGATCCTGTTTTCGAAGAAAATATAGAAACAAAATTGCCTTACATTTGCATTCCCATGGATTTCCAGACAGGGACACCGATGTGATGTTTTCCCGATGCCAGATAAATTTAACAACATCATCATCGAGAGATAACAACAGATTATTTCTGATGTCCATGTATGTAATGTTTTTGGGGATCAACTGCAAAGGGAGTTTCATTAAAGAGTTATTCGCCATTAACAAATATTTCATTGAGGCGTGCCCCTTTGAAAAAGTTGGATTTGGAAGTGTGCTTATTTTATTATTCATGAGAAATAGTGTAGCATCATTTTGAATTGGGTACGGCAGCTCCGGGTAAAAATTCAAGTTCCTTTTTCTACAGTCAATCCAGAAGTTTCTATAAGTGCAACACGAGCATCTATAAGGACAGGAAGTGTTTAAACTATCATATAAAATTGGATCATATTCTGCTGAATAATACGAAATATTTTTATGGAGATATTCCAGTGCCATTAAAATTTCATTTCCTGGAAAGCGTTTTATTATATTATCTTCCTTGGCAAAAAAATATGAATTAGTTTTTTGGAACTGTTTTTTAATATTAAATTTGCTATTAATGTTGATCATATTTTCGAATATAGGATCAAATTTAGATTCATGTATTCGAATAATGTTTGATTTTCTTTCAAAGAAAAATGTCAGATCCATTTCCTTGCAAGAGTGGTTCCATTTATTGCCGTATTGGTAGAAAAAGGGAACTTTATGGAGATAGTGGATAACGTTTTCGCTAAGAGTATGCAAATGATTGAATCGAACATCGAAATATTCCAAATAGTTGGGCAAATGACTTACTTCCAGAGAAGTTAGTTTATTATAGGACGCGTCGAGTTCTTCCACAATACTATATCCCGGCAAGGATCTATTGGGCAGCTGGGTCAGGTTGTTGCCTTGAAGTATTAGGGATGTGCTTCCATTGATTGGAATTGGTAATGGCTGTACGTCTAGCAATTCATTCCAGGAACAATTTATTGAAAATACATTAGAGCTTCGGTAATATAGGCACTGACACATAGGGGGGCACGGTATGTAATTTATGCCAATTGTAAAGTTACAGAAATTTTTCGTTTCGAAGCATATAAAAGCGGTTAAATTTTCAAACGGTATATATGAACGACGATCAAATTCAATTATCTTCAATTCGGTGTATGGGTCAAAGTACTCCAAATTAACCATTCCGTTTATGTTTGCTAACCTTAAATAGCACAGAGTATCTCGCAAAACTCCCGATCTGTAAAAATGGTTTTTATTAAGAAAGTAATTAAGTTGAAATTTATTTTCCTTACTTACCGAAAAAAATGGAAACTTTCAAAATCGACATCATCAAAAACCAAATCTTCCAAACTTGGTAGATCATTAAAGCTTTCGGCGGTTAGGCCTTTGACTTTTAATGAATAAAACTCGAGTTTCTTCAATTTCGACTTTCCTTCAAATACATTTTCTCCAATGTGAAGAGTCAGCTTGTAATGAATGTAACCGGAAAATATTTTAAGTTGCGTTATATTGTTCATGGTTCTTTTTATATAGTTGTTGATAATCGACGACTCCATTTGGATATTTGAATATAATTCAATAGACAGCTCTTCCGGTCCACACCAATTGCGAATTTTTGTTTCTTTTATTTTTAGGGATGGAGAATATAGTTCAAACCCTTCAGCTTCAGAAATGCCAAGATTTTCAAGATAGTATACTCCAGGACAAAATCTTAAATCATCCGCACTTGGTAGTCCCGTCACAGATAATTGATCAACTTTAATATTGTTTTTCAAGGAAATATTTTGAATATTCCACTGGTTAAAGTCTTTGGTAATCCAATTCAATTTTATAATCGAACCCTCAAGTTCAATTTGGTATTCTGAGGTAGTAATTCTATTATTTGATACATTGCACGTCTTATTTGAAGATACATTAATACAAGGACCTCCACAATATAGTTCGCAGTAATCTTCTCTCACGATTATTGAAGAAAGTTCTTGACTAGATGAGCTGACAAGGGTATTTCTTGAAAAAACTAAGAAAACGATAATAAATAGTTCCTTAAACATTTTTACGTCCGAACTCTGGCTTATTTCAATTTTAAATGATTGGAATATCCACTTCGTGTTGTTTATATGTTCATTATATTATTTCCGCCAAATGACGACAAGTATTTCCCAAAAGGGCAAAGCCATACATAAATATTATTCCCTTACTGATCGTTTATAATAAGCAATAAGTATAAAAACTTTAAAGTAATGAAATCGAATGAATTTATTGTTATTTATTGTTTTTTCGATTTTTGATTTTGACTTTTAAGATTATTTCAAGACCCACACATATAAATATTTTTTAGTAAACAAGTTTATTTATTTTAAGCCTGCATGTGAATACAAGATAAACATTAAATATTGTTCTGCCCCGAGACATTATCTCGTTTCCGCTTATACAGAGAACAGATTTTTTACAATTTTCCTTACTTCCATGTCTATTCCCACTTCAGTGGGTTCTTCCTCAGAAAAAGCAAACCACACCTAGACTGTCAGAGCTTCGTTGGCCATGGCCACATGCCGTGGCAATTGATGTCAAATTTATAACGACAAATACTCGAAAAGTTTGCCACGTAGGAAATTCCCGTCGAGCCGTCAAAACCGGAAATGGCAAAGTGGCAAAGCGCAAAGCGGAAATGGCAGGCACAACACAACGCAACCCAACAGAAAAATGCAAATTTCCACGAAAAGGAAATTATAAAAATATTTGTTGGTGTCCCACCTGGCCCACACTTTCTCCGCGCCCCCCATCCCTATAAGCTAGCCCACGAGAGCTACCTGAAAAATAGCAAAAGAATTTTTGCACGTGGATCGTCCTTGTTATTGGAGTGGCTGTTATTGTTATTGTTGTTGGTGTTGTTGTTGTTAGCCGTCTGAAGTCCACTTGAAGCGACGTTCCCGCACTTTGGGGGGCGAAGGTCCCACAACTTCAAGTGCTCCATCGTCTGGCGGAAAGTTTTTACTTTATTTTATTCGGATTGGTTTTTTTTGTTAGCCACTATATAACAAATAGCAAGAGTAGCTCTATATATAGCCCAGATAAAAATGGCAGAGTGTATGTGGGTAAATTTATGCACCGGCAAGTGAAAGGTTCATATTTTAGCCATTGCCAGAGTACGAGCGATTTCAACTTTAATTATTTTTACAGGTGCAATTTATTTACATGAATTTCAATCTCCGTACCGGAGTATAAATTACCATAAACATCTCCTATATGGATATATGGCTATACGTATATATGGTTTTTAACGTTTTTTTTCTGCTTACCAGGGCTTTTTCCATGATGAATATTTAATGCACAGGAATGGGAGAAAATCAGTGGCAAATGGTAGCCTGAGAGGGGGGCCGTGGAAGAGGGCAGCGGTAACTCGAAATGTCAGAAACAGCGAAAAAGCAAAGCGAGCATTACAAACAAAGGCTTGTGTTTCCGACCTACTGTTTCCCAGGCCTTTTTCCGAAATCATAAATGCACAAACACACTTGGCAGTGCTCTCGGATGCACAGGTGAAAAGTCAGAGAAAGTCAAATTAATTCCACTTAATTTGTTTTAACCACAAAAGCCAAAGTATCGAATGCCAAATGGATGTCAATTCGGCGCTTTCAGTGCTACGTAAAGGGATATGGTGGGATATTTCGGATGGGAATTCAAATGAAATTTTAGTTTTACTTTAAAACGAAAATAGTCAACGAAACCATAGATAAAAATTTTGCAAAATGATCAAAATTCAATAGATAATTACCAATAATACATGTTTTATTTTAAGCTAATCACAAAAATTATTAACATTTCTTCTAAGATAATGTAGCATTTACATTCCCTGTTACTGTTAATATCTTAACATACTTCCCCAACCTTGCTGTTATTAACAGAACTTTCTCTTAGCCTGTAAAAACCATGTTAAGTTTACATTCTCTCCGTGAAATATTAATTTTAAGAAAAGGATTTTGAAATCCACCCCTCAAAATAACGGTATTTTCACCCTTGTGAAAAGTTCTTAATGTTCAAGCTTCCAAGTTTCACTTCTCAGCTTTTATAATATTAAAAGCTATAATTTTTTGGACCACCCCTAAAAAAGCCACTCGGGTTCTTCTTAGTTTAGAAACTGAACATCTTGGCTCCTATTGGCTGTAGCCAGATTATAAAAGACCAGTACGTGCCCAATTAAGGCTCAGTTGGTTTTTAGCCCGGTCTAAAGGATGCTGTTCACGGAAGGTAGCCACAAGGACTTGCACCTTAACTTAAGGTGATATATTTTGTAAAATTTAAAATATATTGAATAAAATCTTACAAGCTTGTCGAGTGTTTTTTATTCTTGGTGGGATATTAATATAATGATTTTCAAGTGACTCCTTCAAAGTCATTAGAATTTGTATTACAAAATGTTGACAAATTTGAAGTTAAATGTCAGATCATTTTGACTATAACTTAAAAGATAGTTTTGCGATTTTTTTTATTGATTAGTTTATGAATTTTTTGATTTTTTTATACGTACAAATTTGATAGCTTACTAAATTTACTTATATAGTTAAAAACATTTTTTTTTTAAAGGCTAACAACTTTTTTAATATTCAAGAATTGCAGCAGTTTATTTTACAAAATAATGAGTTAGCTTAATGGTATTAGTAGAGGGGTTAATATACATAGGTTCAAGCAAAACATAAAAATTTACCAATTTTAGAATAAAAAAAAATTTTTAAATAAATAAAAATAGATATGTTAGTATTAGTACGTAAGTACATAGTATATATAGAAATAAACAGAATAAAACAAAAAAAATGGTGGATGAACATTGCAAAAACACTATATACAAAGAAGTTATGCTTCTAAACAAGGAGCTCTTCTGAAGTGGACTTAAGAATATAACTACTAATGAAATTAATACTAAAGAAAATGTTCAATGTTGCCAAATACGATAATGGTCCATCAGGTTATACATTTAAAGAGGATCTGAAGTCTAACCAGTAAAAAAAATATAATAAAGGCAGTATGTGTCACAAATACACAATTAAATTATGTGTCGAATAATTATTAATGAAATAATTAATGGTGACACATTCTAAGGTATATTGACCCTACATAACTTTACTAATGAATAAAAAATAGTATTACTTATATATATTATTACATACAATTATAATATTATATTATTATCACCTAGAATAATATTACTAAATATGCACTTAATAAAAGTCAAATTCGTTTAAAATGGTGTTAAATGGCTTCGACGATTAAAATACAATTTTTCTAATGAAAACTTCACTCAATTAAGCAAAGACCCTATCCATAAATTCCCCGAGAGCCACGCAACAGATTTCATTGCTGTCTGAGCGAACAAGTCGCCTCAGAGCCATCATTTATAACACCCCTTTATTATGCCCAACTTATGTCTTTGCGGGGGTGTAACCCTTGAATGAATCTGGGCGGTTTTTAGCTTCTCTCACAAACTCCAATTACGACCTAATTAACAGCGCCTAATTACTTCCGGCCCCGACCCGCCCCACCGTGGCTCCCTCCGTGGCGGCCCCCAGTGCCACCCAACCTATAACCTTAAATGCATTTCTCTCTTGCAGTTCACAGAGGCCATTCGAAAATTAAATGCTACGCGAATTTTCGCTCTAATTTTTTATTTTCGCCAATTTAGCGAAATCAGGAGGAGTCGTTCTCCTACTTGGGGGAACTACTTGGGGCTTGAAACAATTTATTGGAGATGCAATTGAAAATGCAGCAAGCGTGTCGAGGTCGAAAAATGCCAGCCATCGAAGCGCTTTGAACTTGTGGCAATAAATTCTTCGTTTTTGGCAAAAGCCATAAAAAAGAAATTGAAAAAAGTGCAAATCTAATGAAGAGCCAGGGCTCGGGCCAGTGCCTACAAATTGTATTTTATTTTACCAAGCACTCAAAAATTGTTTTATTTTTGTGGTTTTATGTTCATTGATAAATTAGTCACGTAGTAAAGCCGGCCGTCTGAAGGAACCAAAAGATAGCAGTCGTTGAGGGTCAAAGAGGCGGAAAAGTTGAGACTGCACACATTCCTGAACTTTAACTTAACAGGGAGAGCATTAAACTAAGCCCCAAAACTAAATGGACTAATTCCGGTTTTTAACTTATTCACTCTTTTCCGTTTCTATTACCATCTTCAGTTGGCAAACAAGTTGTCGGACCATCGGACTATCCATGACTGACTGGCTAACAAGCCGTTTAACGCCCACTCAGATACTCAGATACTAAGAAACTCGGCTGCTTTCCTTCTGTCTTTGGTCCTGTTTTGGTCCTTCGATGTCGGCGCCCCTAAGCATATGCTACAAATAATTTGTTATTCAATACGAAACACGAAAAAGTACACAAAGCGGCAAACGAGCTTCAACAATTCAACACACACTGGACATTTAGTAAATTGGCTAACAACTTTTTGTTCAGCTTGGTTTTCTTTGTTGTTCTTCTTATTGTTGTTGTTGTTACGTGATTGCCCGACAAAGAGTGTATGTGTGTGTGTTTGTGTGGGTTTTTGCGGTTAGTCGGCATGTTGTCCTGTGTTGTGTGCCATATGCTTGACCACAGGCACACAAAAAAAGGACACGGCCAAAAAGGATAGCTCAACAGCCTGCCAGAAATGTTTTACGAGACCGACGATTCCAAGGATTTGCCAACTAGATGAAGGTGTGAATGTAAAAAGGGGTTTTCACGGTCAATCATTTATGGATTTGTATTGCTAAAGGCTACAAAAAGGTACATTATGTTTAAAAAACATTCTTCTAGTACACATAATTTGTAAATATTTATACCATCACGCTAGTAAAATAACCTCTTAAACCACTGCCTCGTTTACTAAATCAAAAATGATTTTATGTGCATTTCAAAATAGAATCACACACTGTTTCTCTTGATTTCACCATAATCTTCTTTCTATACATTTTCACAAATAACTCGAAAACATAGTACCAATCAACTGACTCTCATCAAGTCAAAGTTCAGGAAAGCCAAGCCAGTGCAGTGGGTTTTACAGTGCCACTTATGGTTATGCCTTATGTCTCCCCCAACTACTACGAGTGCCTGGCTTAGTTATCCCCTTGCATTTCGGTTGTTTACGGTATGACCACTTGAGCTGCTTTTATTTTATTGAAGATTTGTATCAAAATGTCAACAGGAGGAGCACTGGGGAAGAAACAGGACCAAGGAACAGGACCAGCAACAAGGACACTACGAACTAAGGAAAAATGCAGAAGTTGCTCTTTTGATGTGGGTTGTGTCTCAAGTTCTATTCCCACTCCTTCAGTCTTGTTTTTTGTTTGTGTTTTCCTAGCATTTGAGCAAATAAAATGTTTGCTTAAAAAATTGCAGGCATGCATTGCCAGTTTCCTTGTCCCCCTATATATATATTTTTTTTCCTACTTGTTATTTTTCTTCCCGCTTAAGTTGAAAATGTTGAAATGCTCATTTCAAGCGAGTTTGCCATTTTCCGTTTTCTGGGAATTTTCGGGTAGTGAGGAATTTACTGCAGTCACGACTCCAGCCTGACACAAATACATTTAAAAATGTGCTAACATATGTACGCAGCCTGCCAGGAGCTCACATATTTCTTTCCATGGCTGCTGCGTTGACAGACCCTCTGAAGCTCGCATCTTATCACCCATCACCCGTCCTGCATCCTGTATCATGTATCCAGCTAGTAGGAGAGAACGTCTAACGACAGTTGGCAGTTAAGTTTTGGATAATGGCAAGCTGGGGTTCGGGAATAAGGGATTCTAGAAGTTTTTTTGGGGGGATTGCGGGAGCTAAGAAGCTGAGAGTGCGGTGCCTGGAGATAATCTTCTAAGCATTATACGTACAGCTTTGATTTCATCTTTGGGTTATTTGGGGTAAATAAGCTCCAAGAAAGTGCAGACCATTAAAATACTTTACGAATCTTAAAACTATAAAATTATAGAAGTAAAAGCTGAAGAAAATTCCTGATGTCGCAGGTAATCCAATTCGAAGAGCTAACAATCACCTTGTAAAAACTTTTCTTTAGACAAACAACAACCTGACACAGATACAGTCCTTCAGGTTGTCCTACCATACTCAGTCCCCAGTTCCTACTCCCCTGACATGTGAAATATTTAATATACTTTCCCCTTGTTCTACGATTCCAAGCCCATTGAACATCTCGACACCATCAACATCAACATCAAATCAACACAAGCACAAATTCAATTACTCAAGTGGAGCAACATTGGCGAGAAAGGCAAACGTGTTTTGCGAGTGACATTAATGCGATTCCGGCAACCGTCAATCATATTTGTATTTCCAAAGCAATGGCCCAAAAATACCATTCGGCTCTTGTTTTTCTGGCACTTTATTTTTTATTCGCCGGCTCTTTGATGGCCCGGCCGCAGCTTAATTTGCAATTTAATCGATTGCATCATGGCAGAATCTACAAATAAAGTGACGGATAGTAAATATTTTTGTAAGCCCACGAGGTGAAACTCGTTTGAAATGTGATAGGTTGTTTTAAAATTTAAGGAAAGACCTCTGAGGCCGCTAAGATAAGCCTTGAAATATTTATTTTGAAAATAGGTGGGAAAAAAGCTGCCAACACAAGCCAAAAAACTCTTTTAAACTGGAGGGCCAATACGTCACACATAAATGACACTCCTGACACACTCATTAGCACCACCACGCCCCTCTACCAGGATCACCAGGATCCAATTGCCGGTGCCGTGGTGTGGAAAGAAATACAAACAGAATCGCTTTCAACATATTCCGAAATGAAATCGAATGTCGAGCGTTTGTCGGACAGATTAAAAATACAATTTACGGCAAATCAATTGCGGCTAACATGGCAACAGCAAGGACAACCATGGTCGGGAGGGAAGCAAACCAAAAAAAAAAGGAGAAAATTAAAATGGCCACCGCAAGGAAAACAGTTGAAGCAAAAAATGAAAAGCAAACAAAAGGAAGGACCGGACCCCGAGTGCCGGAAAATCGAAAAATGAAAGCCCTCTTGGAAAAGAAAGAACGACGACAACAACAAGGCCGGCAATAGCAACAGCTGTTGGCATAAATTTGTATAAATAATAAACAATTTACGAGTACAACTCTTGGACCTGGACGGACTCTGCTTCCAGTTCGGCTTCCAACTGCTTCTCTTCGAGCTCGTCCTCCTCCTCCTCTGTCCCTATGGCCTGCTCATCTGGATCATCCTGGCACATTGACTCTTGGCTCTCCTGATTCGGAAGCTCCGAAAGGCGCAATTGCATCTGAAAGGCACGAATTGCTTGAAAACGCTGCTCCCGAGTTAACTGACTGAAGAAAACCGCTCCCATCACATAGCTCCTGATGTCCTGAATATGATCGATCAGTGGTCCGGCGCACGGGGGAATGGGTATGCTCTCCAAGATGCTCCCCATGCTGTCCTTTATTTTGACCGGGCACAACACCACCGCCACAATGAACGTGGTAATAAGAGCACCCCCAATGGTGGTGAATGAAAGTAGTCCGTTCTCGCACCATCCAGGCTGACGGCAAATCATCCTCGCCGTCTTGAAAGCCATTCGCTCGTAGGCGCACCAGCCGACGAACATGATCAGCTCGGTTATGAAAACCGTGGCCAGGATTTCTACGACGGCGAATAGCCACGGCGAGGTCTTCTTGTACCGCTTGGGTATCAGGTCTCCGTTCCATAACAAAAACAGGATGGCCGTGAGGAAGATATTTGCGCTTATAGGGGGTGCCGGTGAGCAGTGATCCTTTGGCTTGGACACAAAAATGGATACGCCCAAAATCTGCATCACTCCAGCCACCGCAATCGTTGTATGACTCACCATGGTTTTACTACTAATTTGAATTATTCTTATTATATCTTTTTTTTCAAAAAAGATTTAGCTCTATAAATTTTCTCTAAAATTTATGAATTGTTACAAGTCTGACTGATAAAACTGACTGTCATTAACTGTCATTTCAACAAGCCGCTAAATCATATCGAAACTAAATGAAAAGGCAACTAAAAGCCACCTGGGAATTTCTTTTCACCTGCCTTGGGCTTGAACTGAAATATTTTTACTTTCAGGACAAGCTCTCTTGGCTTTTAAACACGTCATAAGCTTTCCAGCTGCCTGACCGGCTCAGGATGGCCTTAACATTTATTGCATACTTCTGAGGGCCATGGCCTGTAAAACACATTCTGAAGTGGTGTAGGTGAAAGGCGTCCTTACCAAATTGGGGCATGAATCCTGTGGCACAGGAGAAATCCATTAAATACCCTCACTGAAGAATACTTAAAACAAATGTTTACTTTTAGCTTCAAAATTTGTAGAAATCTTTATCGAAATCTGAATAAAATAGTTTAATTTCCAATGCTGAAGAGTATCCACTAGTCATCCTCAAATAATTAAAAATATTATACATCCGGCTTGGCTTCTTTGGAATTTATATTGGGCACTTTTCTGGCATCTTTTTGGTTTCACTTTGTGTGATTTTCACTGACCCCATAAATAATTTGTGGCCGGCAATAACAAAAATAAGAAGACAAGTTTTAGTGCAAAATTTGTGGCATGCAGCCACTTAATGTGCAATCAAACAATTTCATGGGATTCTCAAGGACCATCCAGCTCTGACATTTAAGTGTTACAAATTTGTGAAGCAGTTTAAATTATAAACTTTAAATTATCATAACTTTGGGCATGTCCCGGGGGGAATGGGACTTGAACAAACATTGACCGGAAAGTCAATGACAAAACTTTTTGGCGCAGCAATAAAAATCAACATTATTATGTTAATTGGCTGGGCTTTTTGGCGGAGGACATGCCCTTTGGCATTTCTCAGTGGGGTCAAGATTTTAATCACTAAATTAGTTTACAAAATATGTAAGAATAATTTTTGGGAGGGAATTTTTTTCCCAGCAATATGCCTTAGGTCAGGTACAGGAACAATCAGGCTGCCAAAGCGCCTAAAAGCATATGGCCTTTATATTATTCAGAGTGTGGAGGTGGGCTCCTTTGTTAACTGCGCAAAGTTTTTCCTCCTGTGGAATATTTGTCTTTTTCCAACCTTCTTTCTGTGGCAACCAGAAATAATAAGCAAACATTATTTATTTTAAAGGAAGCTGCAAAGCCGTTGCATAACCCGCGGCGTTTCAAAGTGGAAACAATGGCGGAAAACCGGCAAGGAAGTTGCCTTGTCATGGTCGCGGGCAGAACGTCAAAGTAATTAAACAAAAGTAATTAAGATTAGCGGACTTGAAGTAGCTCCGAGTCATCAGCAAGTCTCTCACCTGCCCTGCCCTGCCCTGCCAGCCTTTTTTGTGGCCATTATCATTATCATAGTGAGAAAGGGGCATGCTGCCAGCCCCGAAAAGGTAAGGTTAATGTTAAGCGTAACAATATGAAAAGCTTCCTGACAACTTTGACGTCATTATGGCCAGAGCATCCTTCAAGCCTGAGCTCTTTACACTTAGGTCCCTCGTTATGGAGTGCCCTGAGTAGAGCCTGACCCAATCACCTCCAGGGTATTTCGCAAATTATTATTGTTATGAAAAGTTTGGCCGAACAGGGCTAATGATCTTTAAAGATTAGTTTCAAACAACAACAGTAGCAGCAGCAGTACGCAGCTAATACTCACTTCAAAATGGACTCGGGCAATCAGCAAGGGGTCACGACCCCCGAGGAACAATCATCATCAAGCACTAAACTCAATCGACAGCTGACTTGCCATATTTCTCTCTTGAACTTTGAACCCTCGGCTCGGCGTGCTTCATTAACTTCCATACACCCATACACACCCTTACACTCATCCTTCCGTATCAATCGAATACAATCCTTCAATGGCTTAACTCCCCGGCTATCGGCTATCATCAACTAAAAAGAAAATCCCATTGACTCTGATTCGGATTTGGACCGTTTGCAGAAAGTTTGGGCCAACAACTTTCGCAGATATTTGGCCGCTTAAATTATATTTCCCGCTGCCAAAGGTTACAGTTAAGCGTTGATAGTCGATAGCCAACGGACCACGCACCGAACGAGATTTATTAGCATTCAAAGAGGCATTTTAGCCTGCCGCTTACCTCCAGTGTTGGGCGCTCATTTTTCACCAGACCAACTTTTGTTTTGATTAAATGAAGCTTAACGAGCGACCGCACAAGCCACAAATAACTACACTTTTAAAAACAGCCAGAACTTTATAAGCTCCTATTTTTCATATGATTTAATATTATCCCAATTTTTCTCACTGTACTAGCTGGTACGTGTTACCCATAGAGGGGTCTTAACCAAGCTTGAGGTGCTGCCAACTTAACTAATGAGCTGATTTACAGCCCAACACGTCCAGGACAAAAGCCAAGGAGTGCAGTTTGCCGAAAGGTGAATAGAAGGAGGCCAGAATCGAGAATATCGGCGGGGCGGGGTCGTATGACAAATGCGGTTTGCTGTTATTTATGGTGACCGCAGGACAAGATGTTCTACGTGGGGTCATTAGTCCCGTAGGCGTTCTCCTCTAACCGAACAATAGCAATTTGTACGGCCCATTGATGTTCTTTCAACGATTCTGGCTTAGTAGGTAAAATTAAACTTTTTAAATATAGCCAGAAATCAAAAATATTACCACAAAAGAGGTTTCCACAATATAGCAAGTCCTTGCCGTATTGTTTTTCTTGCGATTATCCCTAATTAGACTTGGCTATATATATTAGCTTTCGCAGCAATCAAGACGTGGGAAGGACAAAGGCAATCCCACGACCCACGACCTGAGCCCAGCTGACAAATTGTAATTGTGTGACAAACAAGCGGAAATCGGCTTAAACCTGCCTCCACTCCGAAAGGAAATCCGCAGAGCGTTGACGCCGCTAAGCAGGAGGCCATGACTTCCTTTATTGAGTTATTAGCCAGGCCGCGTGGCAGCTGATTTTAGGCCATGTGGCAAGTCAATTTGTCAGTCAAAAGGAAACTTTCTTCCTCGCCATGGCGCTTAGTCATGATTGGTAATAAAGTGCGGACACTTTTTTGGCACCTTCCTCGCTAAAACTGGAAATTTACATTTTGGTAGCAATGACAGAACACATTTCACGCCAGTTTATTTTATTTTTGTATTCAACGGTTGGCTGACTTCCTGTTAACAGGAATTCCCCCAACATTTTCCACACATTTTATTTTTTATAATGGCATGCAATTCTTTTGTCGGTGTTCGCTTGAATCAGTTCGCGAGAAGCTTTCAATAAATTTGATCATAAAATGCAAATGTGAGAGTAATTCGTTTCATTAAATACTCTTCACATTCGTTAAATGTTACAGATGATTTAAAAGGGATTATACTACTCGATTATAATACAATTTTTAAAATATCGACCTGATAATATTAAGCATTAATACTTTTTTAAATACTTGCAGAAATAATACAACCCTGATCAAGGACATTCAGTGTAAAAGTAAAAAGTGGGGAACTTTCTAGGTGCTAAATGGCACTTATGCGTAACATTGCGTAAGTGCAGCTGTCAGATAACGTGGCTGCTGGTGGGGTCAAAGAGCAGGAGTTGAGGGATGTGGGTCCTGCCAGAGTGCATGCCAGCTTGAGTGTGAAAATTGCTGGAAAAATGAATGCATGCTTACTGGGAGTAAGTTTTGATTTCTCAACTTGCTGTGGGGCGATGGAAATGTGACGTCAGCCAGTGCAGTGGCTTACTCAACCCTAACAATACGTGATGTTATTAAATTCTTTAACAGGGAAAGCTTTCGATTCCTGCCTCAAATCTTAATTTATTACTCTATCTAGTTTGCCAGTCTTAAACTTGAATATCTGTAGTATAAATCTTTACAGACAGGACGAGGACTTTGAAAACTTTCGAAATAGTATTCCCCAAACTATTTTACCTCATTTGGACACTCCTTAGCCCGTAGACTATGGTGAAAAGAATACTTAACCAAAGTCGCAGACAAAGTGCAAAAGAAAAATGTACACATACATATCTTTACGGGAAAACAGGAACGAAACTTTCCATTTTCAATTTGCTGCAGACTTTGGCTAAGTACCAGAGAAACATTTTCTGGTTTCCATTTTTTGTTTCGCCCTCTCCTGAACGGGGGCTCTGTCTACTTTAAGTCGCATTGAACTGAAAGAATAACATTGACCAGCAAACAATCAGCAGTCAAAAATTTCATTGTTACGGCAGTAGCGAGGAAAATACGGAAACAAGTGAGAAAAAAAATAAACCAGAAAAGTTTTGGACAAGGCGTGAAAAATACAAAAAGCTAGGAACTGAGGAAAAAAACAGGAAAAACTTTACAAAGCATCCAACAAAGTGTTGTAATGGCGGGCCATGGGCACACCCGCCCACAGCTTGACTTTTGACCCAACGAGGCGAATGTGTTGCAACGACCTTTGTGGCCTTCCGCCGCCTGCTTGGACCCCTCACCTATTACCGTCTTGTTTTGGTCACATGCTGGCGCAACAGTAGGCCACGCCCACTCCCCCAAGCTCAGGACCTCTAGGGAATGCCCCAATCTCGCACAATGAACTTGCCACACCACGTTGCACGTATTTCCTGTGTGTGTGTGTGTGAGTGTATTTGAGTGCGTGGATGAGTCAAGGAGCAGTCATCTTGTCTACCGTCTAGTCTGTCAGTTTTAATGTTTTTGGCATTGAGCGATGCCTGTGATTTGAAAGAGTTCATTAAGCTTGTTTAGTATGGCCAACGGGGCAGGGAAGGAAGTGGGCTGCTTTTGTTTTGTTACTTCGTTTGGCGAAAAGTTTTTGGGCAGCTTGTTGCTGTCCGCTGTTGTTTGGAATTTGGTATTGAAGCCAATGATGAAAGCTAATTAGCCAGTATCCCCAAGAAGGCAACCCCTAGACTACAGCAACCAACGACTCCCATTTAAAAATGATTGTAAGGACCTCGAAAACAAGAGCCTCTTAAAGATTTGAGTATAATATGATGATTTTGTCTTTATAAAAATAGTCTTGATAATAAAATATATAATCTACTAATATTTCAACAGTCATGAATCCAAATAAGTGGAATTAAAAAGTTACAATAATTTTATCTTCAACAAATAAACTTCCTTGCCATTGAGGCTCTTTTTTGTGGAAACTCAGTCAGCTATAAATATAATTATCACCCTCAATTAGTTGCCTCTTCGTCAGCAAAAATCGCATAAGCAAAGCATTGCGTGCAAATTGAATATCTCAAATTAATTGAGTTTTTTCAACCAAAACAATCTGCCACATGAAGACTTCACATAGAATGCAAATAAATTTAATTAACTTGTCTAATTAAAAGTTCGGCTCTAATATGCAATATGCAGCAAACAAAATTTTCATTCACAGCAAGGGACAAAAATGTGTTTTGATTTTTATTTTTAATTTCATTTAATTCAATTACAATTAAAATGCGGCCCACTAGGCGGATACTCAACCTAGGTCCTTGGCCATCGAACTAAATGCCAACCATTCGGTTTGACGGCGAACTGGACTTGCAACTCGAACATTATTGGCGTTTGGGGGGTTGGGGGCTCTGTTAACATTTTTGTCGCGTGTTTTGCGGTCTGTTGTCGTGGTTGCGGTTGCACGCAAACTACAAGCCCCACTACGGCCGGAGGAGCAACAACAACTGCCAATGGACAGGATCTCCCGTCCTTTGGTTGGCTCCGACCGACGGACGGCTTCGGCTCACACCGTCAGCCCTCGGCTGCCGTCGGCCTGTTATCATTCGTACACCGTGGCGTATACGTAACAGCATTTTTCATTCGTTGAATTTTCTTTTCTTTTACCCATTGTCTGTGTTGTTATTGTATCCGGGGCAGAAAACCGGAGCCGGAGTCGATTCCGGAGCCGGGCTTCTGGCGAGCGATGCGAGTGCTCGGCGAATCAGTTTCGCTGCGGATTCTGTGCGAAGCGGACGCGTTTTGTCATCCTCTGGTATAAAAACGTGATTGAAGGATCTCGAGTAGCGTAATGCCGTGTTCAAGTGACTGAAGGCGAATTGAAATTATTTGCCAAACGATCTGTGTGTGGAGTTAGATAGTTTGACTGTTTATTGTGAGAGTGTTCTTTAAAAGGCTCATTCCAAAAGGTGAGCAAATCAGTGTCCTTTCTAAACAAACAGGTTCTTTTTGAGAGAATCCGATAGATCCGATTGAATGAATCCGATACAACTGTAGAGAAATAATTTAAAGTAAAATATCAAACGCTGTAGAAATATAAATTTTATGCAAATGATCTTAGTTTTGCGTTTTTTCGTCCTTATATTTTTTTTTGGAAAGTAAATATATACAATAGTCTTAAAAACCACTTTTTAAAATAATATAAATACAATTCAGATTTATTAACTGGATCTTTAAAAATGCAGTAGTAGTTCTATAAACAACAAGAAATATTTTCCGCTGAAATACATTTTTGGAAATCGAATTCCTCTATAAATTGGTATTATTTTAAACCGTAATTTGGCTTAACGCCATTGTTAAGCCACTTGAGCTTTCCAGACACAAATGCTCACTTGTGAAGCACTTGAAATGGGTAAACAATTAACTGTTAACTCTGCTAATGCACATTTCATGCCAACAAAAAGTAAACAATCACCGAGACTAGCTCCAGAGTCCTCAAAGCTCCAGGCCACAAAAACCTGCCGGCACTCACTCAAATGCACTTCAATCACTGAAAAATGCCGAAACAAACTTATAAGCGAATAAATGCATGCACCAGAGTTCACTTTGGGACAACTCGCAAAAAAGAAGCTCAAGAGACATAGGGGAAAGAATCGGCAAAGAGCTGAATGCCGTTGATGCCCCTGCAACGCTACGCACAACAGGCAAACACAACCGAAAACAGCAAGGCAAATATAAACAAAGAATTTAGCTTAAAAATACATTAACCCACTGCAGCCGTGGAGAGTGGGGGCTGGGGCAGGCACAGCTACCAACTGCTTCAAACTTGCATACGTAATGGGTGTGCGAGCGGCACTGAGAGCATGTGGCTACAGTGAAAGTTCGTTTAAGGATATGCCCGTTAGGCTTAAAGGATATAGGAGACCGTTTTAAAAAAAATAGAGCTTTTATTTCCATTTCCTGCAAAGCCGATTGTTAAAAATGTAGGCCTTTATGACTTTTTCAAATAATCCAAAATCAAAATAAAAAATTTCTTTATCTAAAATTCTCTCTGAAAAGTAAAAACCTTCAATTCTCGCTCGTTATACTGAGATTTTACTGTGGCATTCGATTGATTTGCATTCAAGCATCAATGCAGATCAATGGCACTGGCATGTGGAGCCACTGAGACACGTAGACAAACAGGGCAGGAAGGGATTGGAGATAACTCCTGGATGTCAGCTGTTTTGGAACTTTTTGTCGCCAACTCTTATCGCTTCTTTATTTATCTTTCCATCTATCTATCCATTTTGGTATTCTTTTTGTCGTTTGTTTTTTTAAGTTTGTTTGGATTTGTTTCGCTATTTTCCACACTAACTTTACAAATTTTGTAGAGAAAAAAACAAATAAGTGAAAAAATATTGTGCTATTGATGATGCTGGCAAGGATTTCAATATTTGATTTAAAACTTTTTGATAAAGTTAGAAATCACAGATATTTATTCAACTGAGGCAATGTTTGCATATTATTTTCAAAGCCATTTTTTGTAAATTTATTTTTGTTGTCCTTTTTTTCTTATTTTTTTGTTTCAAGTTTTGGTCAGTTCCAGGTTGGTTCAATTATCCTAGCATAATGACAAGGTGAAAGCTGTCACCATTTTCTGAAAGCAGCTTAAAATGAAACGCTTGCGGGCAGCCACCATTTATGCTTGTGACTTTGGCAAAGGACGAGTCTAGACTGTCAAGGCTTATTATTGTTTACACAATTCCTTTTAAAAATGGCTCAGCTTAACTAAAAGAAAAAAAATTGTTCTCTTACTAATAATTGCCTCTAATACTTCTTTCTTGTTTTAAATGAGTAGGATTATCTTTCTTCTGCCATTTACTAATTTTTGGCATCCATTAATTCGTGTAGTCACATCTAAACTCCAAGGCAACTTGTTTTGGCAAAGTTACCAAAAATATTGCAAGCCAAACCCAAACAAACACTAAATAGCCTCATTAAATTTTAATTTTCCCACATAAAACAAAAGAAAAACACTAACATGGGGAACGAAGTTGTGCCCTCCAGCAATTTATTAATTTAATTACAAACACTTTGCCAAACTCATAAAAAAGTGCATAAAATTTGTTGGTCTACTTGTTCTCGTTTTTGATGGTAAATCTGTTTTGGTCTATGCCAAAAAAGCTTCATCATGTGTGCTGCTCGATGGGGCAAGGAAGTGGGGGGGAGATGGTAGCAAAAATTGCTTAATTTCATAAGCGAATCGTAAGGGAAAAAGTTTTGTCTCTGAGCGACCGAGTGTTTGTATAGAGGGGCGTGTCCGTATAAGTGTTTGCCAAGCTGCGTGTGGACCCCCAAAAAAGTTTAAGGCAACATGCTTAAAAGCCATAAAAAATAAATTTTTTTTCTGAAGTAGAAGTCTGGCTAGAGATGTCCTGGCCAAGAAGGAACAACGAAACAGACAGTGCTTTGGAAAATTTAACATATATGGTGGACAAACAATTTACAAGAATATATTTTGTCTTTTCTAAATAAAAATTTGTACCTTTTTAATATTATTTAAATGTTGAAGAACAAATATATTTAATAAGCACTGTTTACCAATCATATTCCACATCAATTTCTTGGAAAAAACGACTTACTTAGATGCAAAAAAGTTATAAAGTTTCTGTAAAAATAAAGTCCTCTGAAAAAGACCAGAGAAGTAAATAAAAACTTAAGATAAACAGAAAATGTAAAGAATATTTAAATTAATTGGCTGTCTGCACATATGTTTGTGAGTGGAATTCTTTATTAAAACCGAAGCAACATTTGCAGATGATAGTGCTTTTGGTTGGCCACAAATATATACAATATTATATCCTTTTTGGACTTTTAATTTTGTCTACTGATATGGGAACCAAGAGCGTTTATCAACCGGCCGCCAAAGGGCTCCAAAGTTCCGGCTTCAGAGGGAAATCTTTATGACTTTTCGGGTATTTCGTTGGCCCTTCATTCCGTTTATGCGGCCAAAACTTTGCTGCAACACGTGCAGATCGCCTACACAAGGGGGGCGTGGCAGGCAGAAAGCATGCGGCTCTATGGCATAATATTTTGCCAAACTTTATTGAATTCCCCAGCAAATCTGCATGGCATCTGGGTGCATGCGTTGAAAGTTACTAGACAGCAAACAATTGGGCGGGGAAATGGAATCGCAGAATCCAGTGCATTGAAAGTAAATTTATGGACGCCAAAGTCAAATGGAAAACTCTCTAGAGTTACTGTTCTTTTTTGACTCACTTTTTTAGAGGGTAATATAATTTTAGAAGAAGTTTTCATCGATCTAAACGTTTACTTATAAGATAATACATAGGAGGAAATAGGTACTGGAAAAAGGATCTCAACTGAACTTTAATTTAAATAGCTTTTAAGCCTTAATGACTTATTTAAATGAACTGTTCTCTTATCAATTTAAAACTTATAACTATTTTTTATCTTTTTTACAGCATTTTGTAAATTAAATGATGAAACGTTTGACTTCTGAGCGCCGTAATTGTGAAGCGATTTTCTAAAATAAACCCATAAAAAACTGAAAGCATTTACCAGTTTTTTAGTTTTTTTTATTGGAGCCATGGCCATGGGGCAAGTTCTCCGATAATAGAGCCGTGTGAAAAATCCCGAATATAAGCCAACGCAAACAAAACCCCAGGCAGTTCGAAAGTCTAGAAGGACTGAGCGGTGGGGAAAACTGGAACAGTAGAGACGAGAGGATGTACTTTGGCCAGGAGACGAGGCCATCATTGGGGCTCCTGGCTGTGGCTGAGTCAACCGCAACGGCAAGTTGATGTTGCCCCCGTCCTGGCATCTAATTGGGGCCCTCCTCGTGCTAACGGCCACAGCGGGGGAGTCCACCAACAAGATCATCTTGCCGCAGATTCTGAACGGCGGCGGGAGCGGCGGCATTGCCTTGGGCAAGCATCCGTCCGGCTCCAAAACGGTGGTCCTGGGCCCGAATCCCAGCAACGCGGCGAGTGGCGTAGGAGTTCTGGTTAGCACCGGAAACACGGTGGTCGGAAGCAATGGCGTGATTGTTTCCGGGGGCGTGGCCAATGGGCCGACCTCGAATTTAAACAGTAAGTATATCGGATGCATATCTAATAAACTCACTTAAAATTACACTCTGGATAAAAGCTAAAGTAAAGAATTGAATTTGTTAAAAAAATATTTTAAGGTATTTTTTATGGTTATCTTTTATTTAAATATTCCTTTGCCTTCAATTTTGTAGACCAGTGCAGTGGCACTTTATCAGTATCCCTATTTGCCTTTTGGCAGCTTTCCGACTTCCCGCTGCCTGATGCCATCAATAACACGGTGATATCTCAGAGGCGCCCAACGCCCTAACAGCCAATCATATTTGCACAGACAAATAGGGGGGAATCCGGGGACAATATATGTATGTATATAGACAGTTGGATAAGAGGAGGGAGGGCGAAATGACCAAAATTGTGCCTCGGGGCATACGCGGTACACGGCTTTATGCCAAAAATTGAAAGCCAGCTAAAGCAGTAGCTGCACAGATATATTTGTACACTTTAAGAAAGGAACTGGCGCACTTTTTTAAAATTTATCCCAAAATTTAATGCAGAAATTATATGATATTTAAATATACATTTTCTTGGCATGGTTTAAATATTTTTAAAGTAAGGCCTGGTAACCTTTTTTTCTCTTAACAAAATCTTTCTTAATGTACCCATATATCAGTGTGGCGGATAAAAAGGAATTCTGGAAACGGTGCCAGAGCCCCGGGGTTAACACCACCCATCCCTGCACCCACCTGCAATCCGCCACTCAACTCCTGCAAATGCCGGCTGTCATTGTTCTCAGGTGCAGCCGGAGCAGAAACAAAAACAACACCACCGACAGCAATAACGTCGCTTAACTGTGCACAAAATTCATTCAGGCAGCGCTATTCATGTTGCAACAGGCGACATCAACCGCATCATCCTCAGAACCGCCCGGCCACGCCCCTGACTCCATTCCGGTAGCCCCCATTCAGCTCCATGGCGTCAACTGCCGATGGCCAATATCATAGCCAAGCGTGCTTTATGCATTGGGAGCTGTGAATTTATTCATGAGTTGAGATCCTTAAATACGTCAGCAAAAATGGTACATCAACTTCAATAGCGTGTCGAGCACTTAGTTAGGAGGCTATTATATAAATTTGCATGCATCCTTGGTTTTCTGAGGCAAGGGAAATTTAATAAATTAATATTTAAAACGAAATATTAAATACTAAAGGAGTACTTAGTGCTGAAATGAAAGGATAGCCTTCTATAATAGATGCAGCATTTTAAAAATGTTTTTCTGAAAAATATTGTAATGCTATCCTATCTGCCAATATCAGACTAAAGCTCGGACAAATCTACAATATTTCTGAGTCTTATTGTTTGTGTCACTCTTAGGGGCGTGGCGGTGTGGGCGTAGAGGCCAATGGTTGGTGCCCCCAACGCAGAATTTATATGCAGACGCGCACTCTGGCGCGAAATTTGCAGCTGGATAAAATCCCATGATTATGCAGAGAATTTTCCCCCGCTGCGTAAACGTTGCTCGCTTGACTTGCAACAAGAGGCAACAGTGTTTGCATCTACTTTTTGTCACATTTTCTCACTCTATTCTCACCGCGAGAAAAATTATGAATGTTGATTTTTCTAATGAAAAAACATGACTTATTATTCCATAATATTATCCTAATATTTTCTTAAAAAAACAAGTTATTATTATATTATTTTTGAATACAAAATGGATAGTGTTTTTGTGCTATGAACTTCTATCACTGGATAGAAAAAAAGGAATAATTAAGTCAGGCAGAAATAGAAGTGTTATTTTAGGCCACTCCTGTTATTGTCCGTAATTAGTCCGGCTTGGACAAAATGCTGGCCATGTCAAAAAGCCAGTTGTTGAGTTGGTGGCCCATTATTTGCATGGCCCAAGGCCCCATCGAAACGGCCAAATTCTATTGACTTGTGCACATTTCAATCTGAATATTGTGTGCCGGGGCGAGTGTTTGAGTTTCATATTACAAACATCCATACAGTCATGGCTGGCAGGCACTCGGACATCATAAATAGCTAATTAAGCTTTAGGAAAGGCGCGTATTTGGAACCAGCCATACATTTTAATTAAAATGAGGCTTCTCTATTTTCATTTAAAATTCAAAACTACACCCCAAAAAATGCTCTTAAAATTTAACAATTCAAAAAAAAGATGATTTTTACATCCCTTATCATTTTATTTTTGTCTATTTTACCTCTACTATATGACATAATCACTTGAATATTGATACTGCAAACTAAATTGCATTGCATAAGCAAATTCTTTGACCATTCCAATAAGCCGCATCATGACTGCATTCAAATTAAGTTATTTGTTATGCATAATTGTTGCCTTTTTAGGAATGCGATTAAATAATTGCAACTCAAACAGCTTAATTGAATTGCCGTAGCATTTTCGTTAGGCTATCCAGGCTCAAAGCAAACAAAAATTGAATTTCTATATTAAATATTTGTCCGACTCAACCAAATTAGCAGCTAAATGATTGAAGCCAAGGCTCCTTCTCTTCCATTGACCCCAAATGAAGTGTCAATATTTGAGTGCATATTAAAGAAAATGTAGCTAGGAGTCTGGCAGTCATTGTCAAAATTAAATGCATTTTGCTCATTGTATGGTCATTAAAAGTTTAATGAACGACTCGACAGAAGCAGTGGCAGAAGCAGCAGCTTCGAATGAAAATTTCTCCATCCAATGGGGAAAAAAAAGGATTTAACTTGTTGATGTTTCAGGCAAATATTGAACTGAGCGGAAGCAGGGGAAGTCTGGGCGGTGTGTGTGTGCGAACAACATGTGTTTAATTATATCGGTACACATTTATTGTTGTTTGTTTTTCCTCCCGGCGACGGCCCGGCGGAACCGAAAGAGCAGAAGCAATAATGAGTCAATGCAAAAATCAATGAAATAATTATTTTGCACCCCCCCAAATCAATTTTTTGATTCTCAACCCACCGCCCGCCAAAAGTTGGCTGATTTCGAAACATTTTTACAATTAATTTTGTGCGCATAATTGATTTTTATGGTTTATTTGATTATGCAAATGCATGCGTGGCATATTGACATAGAACAACTAAGTCAAATATGAATAAAACTGAATAAATATTTCATAAACTTCATTTAAATAAATTAAATTCAACCCATATTTAAATTATTCAATATTTTGCAGCTGTTGTCGAAGAACCCGAATTTACCGAGTACATCGAAAATGTAACCGTACCTGCTGGACGTAATGTTAAACTGGGCTGTTCCGTTAAGAATCTTGGCTCATATAAGGTGAGATTTAAATATTTTTCATCTTTAAAATGTAGAGAATATGTTGTCACAAGTCCATTACAACCGCACTGAAATTCCCTTTTGGGGTTTCGAAAAAGTGCTGACATCGTTTCGCTTAGTTTTTATGCATCATTAGCCAGAAAGAAATCCAAACAGAGCCAGGGAAATGGAAAATGGGAAAGCAAAGAGAACGTGAAATGATTTATTAATTAAGCAGCTGGTAATGGGTGCTAATGATTTGATTACTTGGCATGAAAACTGTGTTCAAAAAGATAAGACTAGGAATGCATAGTCAATGAGCTTGCAATGCGATAACGTCTGAAGCCAAAGGGACAAGTAAACTAATTAATTTAGCCTCGAATGCAAGTCAATACTTTGAAAGCTATCTCGGTTCGCATTGCCAGCTATGATGATGGGCCAGTCAACCAAGAAGGCCTTAAACAGATCATTAGCATGAATGGTGGAACACTATTCCCAGCTCAAGTAGCTAACGCCGAGGACCTGGCTAGTGTGCAAGCCAACGAAAAGTCATCAGGATGTAGGAAATAGAATCAAATTGAGGTGTAAATGAGAGCAACAAGAAACCCAATCCCTGGTGTTGAACGTGAACTGCATACAGTAAATGGAAGACTCCTAGTCAAAGGTAGAAAAACGAGAAAGCGACTCGGTTAAGCTTTAGTCGGATGGCATGTTTAAGTAGCTGGGCGTTTGTAAGTAACGCTACCCGTTACATATATTGGCTTCATGTAATTCATAGCTATCACCACACACATGCACACACACTCGCAGGACTCAGTCTCGTCCTTTCCCAGTGCCAACATTCAGGAACTTGTAACCGGTTGCGTTTATTTTTATATGCGACACTATGATGCAATTTTCTCGCTTCCGCTTTTCTCCCTCTCACTCTTTCTTTTCCCATGTCTTCCTTTCCCTTTCTCTGTGTGCCACTGCAACCATTTTTTTTTTGTTGTACTCTATCCTCCATTTTGACTCCTGATGCTGAGCTGTGAAATTGCGAGCTTTTCCATACACTACGTGTGACTGAATGCGTGTGTGTGTGTGCATCGGTATGGGAAGAGAAAAATGCCGTTAGGATGTTATTAAAAAGTTGAGGTTTTTTTAAGTACCATTAGTAACAAGATAGCATTCCAGTTACATGTAAAGCAAGTGCAATTAGAAAGTGTTTTCATACAAGAATTTATTTATATTATTTTTTTACATATCAATGTTTTTTAGTTCTTTGATGTTTATATTTTATTAAGACTATATTTATGGACAAGAATTTTTTTAACCAAAGGACTTTCGTTATATTCACTTACTTTATTTCTTACAAGACTAATAGAAAAGAAATATGGGTAGCAACTAACCCTGCGTATGAGTTGTGATCTACGAAGGCAAAGTATGTATATACTAAGAGGTTCTACTTTTTACTGAGATTACAAATGGCCCATAGTGATATCTATATCTTCACCAATTCCTATCCGATTCTCAAGCGGAGTACCTTAAACGATTTTTGGATCGATTCGCCATCATTCTGCATCAAAATCCTGAGATAAAATATTTTTTAGATTTTTTGTCCATTTTTGTGATGGGATCCCTTGAAAATGGGGTTTTCCCCTATAGCGCCCACTGTGATGGCTATATCGTCACCAATTCTCATCCGATTCTCAAGCGGAGTACCTTAAACGATTTCTGGATTGATTCGCCACCATTCTGCATCAAAATCCACCGACAAAATATTTTTTAGATTTTTTGTCCATTTTTGTGAAGGGATCCCTTGAAAATGGGGTTTTCCCCTTTAGGGCCCACTGTGATGGCTATATCTTCACCAATTCTCATCCGATTCTCAAGCGGAGTACCTTAAACGATTTCTGGATCGATTCGCCACCATTCTGCATCAAAATCCTGAGACAAAATATTTTTTAGATTTTTTGTCTATTTTTGTGATGGGATCCCTTGAAAATGGGGTTTTCCCCTATAGGGCCCACTGTGATGGCTATATCTTCACCAATTCTCATCCGATTCTCAAGCGGAGTACCTTAAACGATTTCTGGATCGATTCGCCACCATTCTGCATTAAAATCCACCGACAAAATATTTTTTTAGATTTTTTGTCCATTTTTGTGATGGGATCCCTTGAAAATGGGGTTTTCCCCTGTAGCGCCCACTGTGATGGCTATATCGTCACCAATTCTCATCCGATTCTCAAGCGGAGTACCTTAAACGATTTCTGGATCGATTCGCCACCATTCTGCATTAAAATCCACCGACAAAATATTTTTTTAGATTTTTTGTCTATTTTTTGTGATGGGATCCCTTTAAAAAGGGTTTTCCCCTATAGGGCCCACTGTGATGGCTATATCGTCACCAATTCTCATCCGATTCTCAAGCGGAGTACTTTAAACGATTTCTGAATTGATTCGCCACCATTCTGCATCAAAACCCTGAGACAAAATATTTTTTAGATTTTTTGTCTATTTTTGTGATGGGATCCCTTGAAAATGGGGTTTTCCCCTATAGGGCCCACTGTGATGGCTATATCTTCACCAATTCTTATCCGATTCTCAAGCGGAGTACCTTAAACGATTTCTGAATTGATTCGCCACCATTCTGCATCAAAATCCTGAGACAAAATATTTTTTAGATTTTTTGTCCATTTTTGTGATGGGATCCCTTGAAAATGGGGTTTTCCCCTATAGGGCCTACTGTGATGGCTATATCTTCACCAATTCTCATCCGATCCTCAAGCGGAGTACCTTAAACGATTTCTGGATCGATTCGCCACCATTCTGCATCAAAATCCTGAGACAAAATATTTTTTAGATTTTTTGTCCATTTTTGTGATGGGATCCCTTGAAAATGGGGTTTTCCCCTATAGGGCCCACTGTGATGGCTATATCTTCACCAATTCTCATCCGATTCTCAAGCGGAGTACCTTAAACGATTTCTGAATTGATTCGCCACCATTCTGCATCAAAATCCTGAGACAAAATATTTTTTAGATTTTTTGTCCATTTTTGTGATGGGATCCTTTGAAAATGGGGTTTTCCCCTATAGGGCCCACTGTGATGGCTATGTCTTCACCAATTCTTATCCGATTCTCAAGCGGAGTACCTTAAACGATTTCTGAATTGATTCGCCACCATTCTGCATCAAAATCCTGAGACAAAATATTTTTTAGATTTTTTGTCCATTTTTGTGATGGGATCCCTTGAAAATGGGGTTTTCCCCTATAGGGCCAACTGTGATGGCTATATCTTCACCAACTCTCATCCGATTCTCAAGCGGAGTACCTTAAACGATTTCTGGATCGATTCGTTACCATTCTTCATCAAAATCCTGAGACAAAATATTTTTTAGATTTTTTGTCCATTTTTGTGATGGGATCCCTTGAAAATGGGGTTTTCCCCTATAGGGCCCACTGTGATGGCTATATCTTCACCAATTCTTATCCGATTCTCAAGCGGAGTACCTTAAACGATTTCTGAATTGATTCGCCACCATTCTGCATCAAAATCCTGAGACAAAATATTTTTTAGATTTTTTGTCCATTTTTGTGATGGGATCCCTTGAAAATGGGGTTTTCCCTATAGGGCCCACTGTGATGGCTATATCTTCACCAATTCTCATCCGATTCTCAAGCGGAGTACCTTAAACGATTTCTGAATGGAGTCGCCACCATTCTGCATCAAAATCCTGAGACAAAATATTTTTTACATATTTTGTCCATTTTTGTGATGGGATCCTTTGAAAATGGGGTTTTCCCCTATAGGGCCCACTGTGATGGCTATGTCTTCACCAATTCTTATCCGATTCTCAATCGGAGTACTTTAAACGTTTTCTGGATCGATTCGCCACCATTCTGCATCAAAATCCACAGACAAAATATTTTTTTGATTTTTTGTCCATTTTTGTGATGGGATCCCTTGAAAATGCGGTTTTCCCCTATAGGGCCCACTGCGATGGCTATATCTTCACCAATTCTCATCCGATTCTCAAGCGGAGTATCTTAAACGATTTCTGGATTGATTCGCCACCATTCTGCATCAAAATCCTGAGACAAAATATTTTTTACATTTTTTGTCTATTTTTGTGATGGGATCCCTTGAAAATAGGGTTTTCCCCTATAGGGCCAACAGTGATGGCTATATCTTTTCCAATTCTCATCCAATTCTTAAGCGGATAGAGTGCCTTAATCGATTTTTGGATCGATTTTGTTACTAGTTCGCGTAGAATCAGACAGATGGACATGTTTATATTAGCTCAGGAGGGGATCCTTATCAAGAATATATCATATGCACTTTGTAGAGTATAAGATGTCTCCTTTACTGCGTTGCACTCATGTGATCAAAATTATAATACCCTCTGCAAGGGTGTGAATATTTATAATTTTAACATTTTAAATTGACTAATCTCCTATCTTTACCTTTACGATCAGGTTGCCTGGATGCACTTTGAACAGTCCGCCATCCTGACCGTTCACAATCACGTGATTACGCGCAATCCGCGCATCAGTGTCACGCACGACAAGCACGACAGGCACAGGACCTGGTACCTGCACATAAACAACGTACACGAGGAGGACAGGGGTCGCTACATGTGCCAGATCAATACGGTGACGGCCAAAACGCAGTTTGGTTACCTCAACGTAGTGGGTGAGTTGCCAAAGCTGCCTCCTGTTGCGGGGAATCTAATCAGAGTAGCGCTCTTGGGGGATTCGAGGGATTCGCGGGATTCGTTTGTGGCAGGAGCCAACGAAAATCCTGTGCAAATAAGCGGCGAATTAAAAAATAATTTATGTCCCTTTAAGCTGAGTGCAAACATGGCCAGTAAAAACAAAGAACCAGGAACAGGAGAAAGCCAGCACAAGAGCCGTGAGTCCAGAACAGAATCCGGGACTAAGGACGAGGGCCAGGGCTGCGAATGGAGCACAGTTCAGTGAATCCTTTGCCCAGGCGAAATTATTTTCCCTGCCTGGGCAAACAACAAACAAAAAATTATTAAAAATGCATGCGATATTTGTGCTAAAGGGAGTGAATACGCGTGCTTTTAATTTGAAAAAATTTCCAGGAAACAAGCGAAATAATAAACAGACAATAAAAGATAGAGAATCAAACTTGAAAACAAAAAACTGTACAAAAACGTTATTCTTATAATTTAATTTTGAATAAAAAGCTGGCTGAATGGAAAACGCATCCTAGGTAATTGTGTTATCGTAAAAAATAAACACCTGGCTCCTGGCTGTGGATTTAAAAATGATATGAACACGTTTGTAGAGTTCAAAAAAGGAAAGGAAAGGACATGCCCGTAATACATATGGCCAATAAATTGGTCTTCTATTTGAACGAATAATGATGAATGCGAAAATAATTGCCGGCGAACAGTTGGAGGCTCATATTAAAACCAATTTCCTGTCGCTGAGGCGAAAAACTAGAGCGCGGTATTTGGTGTTTGGTGGACAAATATTTGTCATGCATAAATGCGGTGGCAGAGTTCAATTTTAAATGGGTATTGACTTCATCAGTTTAAGCGGATTACCGCAGAGCAACAGTTTAGCAAACACTGTAGATAAGCCATTATTATTTTGTTTTTCTATCTCGATTTCCGACAGTTCCCCCCAATATCGACGACTCGTTGAGCTCCAGCGATGTGATTGTCCGGGAAGGTGCCAACATTTCGCTCAGGTGTCGGGCCAGCGGCAGTCCCAGACCCATTATCAAATGGAAGCGCGATGATAACTCCCGCATAGCCATCAATAAGAATCACATAGGTAAGTGCAGCACTATGGGAGAGGCACTGCATCAATCATTTAACGTCGTCATCTCTCCTCCTTGCAGTGAACGAGTGGGAGGGCGACACCCTGGAGATCACCCGCATCTCCCGGCTGGACATGGGCGCCTATCTGTGCATCGCCTCCAACGGGGTGCCTCCCACGGTTTCCAAGCGCATCAAAGTCAGCGTGGACTGTGAGTACCAAAGATGAAAGTCATGTCCTCATGACCCTTCAAAAAAAAAAATTGATGGAGTGACGAATCCAGTATTCAGCACTGATTCCCCCAGAGCTCGGTTAACTATTCGATAACGTGTCCACAAAAGTTGACAAAAATCTAAATACAAACAGTGTTGTACTTGTTTATATTTTCTATTTTTCCATTCAGAGCTTCAATTTATTTTTTGGTAACGTTTCCACTAGAAATTGTGTTTGTTTGCCAAGTTTTCGGTTAGCAATTTTTCTTTTTTTAAAGACATTGTGATTTTTTGCCACTCATATTTCCATTTGGCAGTTGCGGATTAAAGTCGAACATCCAGAAAATGTTTTTTGCGACCGATTGAGAGGAGTCTACTTTGGACTATAGCTACCATTTTGGCTTTGAGTGATACTTGACCTTAAATAGATGTTTTTCTATCTTATATTCTAGTTTAAATATTTTATAAATTTCTCTTTAAGAAATGTACTATTTTGGAAAACCTTTTTTAAATCCCTTGCAGCAATAGGGGCCCATGGTTACGGCCTTTGAAATTGCAAACTCACTTGTAGCTGCTGCCGTTTGTGGCTTATACGGAAACGAACAGCTGCACCACAAAAAAAATACAAGGAAAAGAATGATGGAATCAAATCACTGCGTTTGCTGCGGTGCACTTTTTTAAGATTTATTACAGGCGACAGACACATCACATGCGCTGTCAAGTGCTGTCATGCTGGAAGCCAGGGAACCCGGAGCGGGATGTGGGCGTGGTCGTGGTCATGGTAGTCACAGAAATTTGCTCGTATGCTGTCACTTAAAAATGCCGCAAGCATAAATCTATTTTTGTTTCGTACACGACATTCGCCGCTGTAACCAAACAAACCTCGAACGCTCCAATGGCTACCCCGCCATTCCCATTCTCCCAGCAGTAAACCAAACTTGGCTGACCAGGTCCAGTTGCCGTTAACAGTTGGCAGTTGGTAGCTGCCAGTTGGCAGTTGCTAACCCCTGACCAGCAAAAAGTGCAATACAAATTGTAGTTGCGCCAGGGAGTCACACAAAAAAAATTGGGAAAACGCAAACAGAAATGTCGAAAATACCTTGATTGCTTCAAATGTCCTCCACAAAAAAGAAATTGGCTGGTGTTTGTACATGGGTTGATCCTTTGGATAGAATGGATTTTTTCAAATGAGTATCTATGAAAGGATTCATTGTGTTTTTGTTCGTTCAAATGAAAATATTCTTTTCAAGTGCTCGGTAATTTTTAGTTAAAGTTTCAGGTTCTGATTCCCTGATTTGTTTACAGGATAATTGCAAGCTCTGTTGTCTTTTCAATTGCTTGAAAATCCCCATAAACGACCAGAGCCATTTTCAATCCATTGATAGCCACTACAATTGGTCGAAGGAGTGTCTGCAATTTCTAAGCTACATATATCCCTTAACCGACAATCAAGTCAATCCCTACATTGCCATTTCGACCCACACTAAGTCCGCAAATATTTCCCCAAGATTGTCCGCCGGCAGTGCAATCAATGGTCCGCAACTGTTCAACAATAGTGCCACTTGAACGGTAATCCTCTTGGCCATTTCCCAACCCCTTGACAAGGCTTCATTAACGGCTAATTTTCGAGTTGTTTACACTACCGAGCAACTCACCTTTTTTTCCAGCAATTTTCTATAGAACGGAAACGGGCGGAAAGAAAAGAATGTCACTCAATGTCCAGGCAGTATCCTTTCTTGCTCCCCCCGACCAGGCTAAATTATTGTTGACTCAACGCGAGTCCTTGTGGCACTTAGCAGCTTTTCTCCTTTGCCGACATTCGCCAATATTGTCGCCACTCAATTGTAATTTAAATCAGTGCCGAAAGGAGTGGAAGAAGCTGTTATCCCGGACAAATGTTTGTCCTGCCGGCCCCCGGTCTGGCAACTTGAGTCCTTGAGTTCGGCTCTCCTTTTTTCACTGTGGGCAATTAAAATGAATGAAAAGAAAGCAAACGACAACGACTTCAAGGTGATTTCCTTTGGACTTTCGCTTAAGCTCTGCTCAAAAGTTGTCTGGGGAAAAATCAACAGAAATTATATCAATATAGAATATCTGCACTGCATACGAAATTAGCAGGAGAAATGCTACGTTTTTCCTTTCCTTTAATTTTTTTTTCTTTTCGTTGGAGTGGCATAGGTTAAGGGTCGTTTGCAGCATATGTTGCCCTTTTGCCAGCGAACTTTTATATTCCATAGCCCGTACCAGTACCCGTAACCGTTCTGTTTCAGTTTCGGTTGCACAAAGGCAACAAATCAGTATGCAGTCAGAAATACATACATATAAGAAACCCCGCTTTCTCTATGGAACCGGAAACAGAAACTGAATTTGTTGCTTCCTGCTTGTTAGGCAACGCACGCCACAAAAATAAACGTATGCGTGTGTTTCGCTCTCTCTCCTGCTCTGTCTCTGTGTGTGTTTGTGTAAGAGTGTCCTTTATACGTAAAGGACATATGCAAGCTGTCACAGTTGTTTTAACAAATTGTTCGGGCTGTCTCTGTGTTTCCTCATATAAGTTTCGAAAAATCAAAGAAAATGCTTATATTTATGCTGGGGTATCTATGTGCCAATCAAAATGTTATCGGTATGGGATTGGAAAGTATGAAGCAAAGAGATAGCAAATTGGATTTTGTGTTCTTTTCAGCCAGACAGCTATTTTGGCTGGCTAATTGGCCCAGTAGTTGACCCAACTCGTTGTCAAGCTGTAATTAAGCTGCTCACTTCATCACACTTAAGCATATTTTTGTGGTAAAGGATTATACCCCAACTTGTCATGGCGTGGGCTCATCAAACATACAAAAGAGCCAGGAAACTGGCGCTAATTTGTGTCCGAGCTGATTAAAAATTCAATTGGGCCAGCCCCTTGGCCCCGTCCCTCAGAGCCATTTTTATAAGCCTTCAGCTTAATTGCCAGCTCGTGGTGGACATAAATCAACAAAAGGTAAAAGAGGCAAACAAATGACAAGGCAAACCGCAAAAAAAATATATACACCAAAGAATCCATTGTGCCCCTTAATGATGATGAGGATTCTCAGATACTCAGATGCCTGGATGCTGACAATACCCATAGAAGAATCATGGCGTACCACTGGAGTGTTCATTAGTCTCACTCTCTGCGACATTTTTCCCATTTAATATCTTAATTAAAAATGTGCGCCAAATGCGCCTGAAGTGTGAGGATTTCTTATGTTGTTTTTTCGCGGTGGCAAAGGTTGGATTTCCAAAGATGTCCTCGCACATAATTACAAAGGTGCAGTCGCTGTGCAGGCTGGCAGTCACCTCAAGACAGCCAGAAACCGAATAATGCTATTCATAAAATTTTCTTGAAAAGAAAATAGTTTTTTTTACCCTACTCTCGAGTTTTTTGAGCTTCTTGAGGCTCAAGAAGTTGTCCTGACTTGCAATTTAAATGAAAATCCGTGCCAGGATGAAGAGGAAAAATTCCTGCTTAAATCAAAACTGAAATACCAATTTGAATAAAATAAAAATATTAAATTCATTGTATGCATGAATCTTTTTTAATGTTTTTAATAATTTGTATTTATATATGTTTAATAAATTCCTTTTTCAGTTCCACCTATGCTGCTCATACCTCATCAATTGGTTGGCGCTCCAGAAGGTTTCAATGTCACCATCGAATGCTTTACAGAGGCACATCCCACATCTCTGAACTATTGGACACGTGGCGAGGGACCAATCATTCACGATTCGCACAAGTACAAGTAAGTTAAAGTCTTGTTTAAATTTTAAAGAACAATCTTTTTCGAAAGCTTTGTTTACTAAATTTAAAAAACTCTTTTATTTAATTCCAGAGTTGAAGCTAGCGTGGGACTGCCAGCTTACAAAACTCACATGAAACTGACCATTATTAATGTGGGCAGCGGCGATGATGGAATTTACAAATGTGTTGCCAAAAATCCCAGAGGCGAGACCGACGGCATAATTCGATTATACGGTAAGTCATAGCTAGAAGCTAAAAAATATTCACATACATTTCTATAGATAACTTTAATTTGTTCTTCAAAAGAGTAAATTATCCCTTTTAAGTTCGTCCAATGCCCAGTTCAATCCCAACTAATTAAGTTCTCCATATCCAGTGGGTCCAATAAAGGACTCGAGGCATTGAAAAACTACTGCATTGGCCTTAACACAAATTGACAAATCTAAGCCATTTAGATGTTGGTCCGTGCCGGGCTGAAAGCCAAATGAAAGGCCAAAATGAAACGGGAGAGAAAAAAATCTCGGCCACATCCGTGGCCTGACTTAATTGCCTGGCTAGAAGGACTCCCTTGCCCCTTTCCTCTCCGAAAAAAATACCCGTTCTTGCCCGGAATGAACCGACATGGAAAGCCCAAAATGGGTTGGGACATGCTCGTTGAGCGTCTATAATCAAGCCAGTGAGAAATCAAGTCACGTCCCTCGACCAAGGTGTGGAATTTTTGGCCAGGCTAGTCTGGCTTTGCACTTGGCTTAGACGTCAGCTAACTTTCCTCGGGATCCTTCAGCCTCATATGAGCCAGCGGCGAAACTTGACTTTAAAGTTGCGTATATGTGTGTGGCATGTCCTGAGTTGCAAGTTAATATCACGTCTTTAGTTTAATTACGTGATGGGTTCTTTGAAGGGAAAAAATGGCTCAGTTATCGATTAGGGCTTTAGTTTAAAAACCATTCTCAAACATATTTTAAAAAATTATCTTAAAATTTGAGTAAATATTTCTTTATATTTTTGAGTCATAGGAAAGTAAATCAGAGCACCCTTGTCTTGCTGGTAAATAAATAATTCAATTATCAATAAATATGAATAAAAATTCATACGCTAACGTGGTATTTTAAAAAATTTAAATACATGTCGCAAACCGTAGCTGTGATTTTCCGGAATGAACCCATGCAAAATGCATCACTCCGATTATAATTTCAATAAACGGACATGGACACCGGCCCACCTGAAGGGTTTTTAATCATGGAGAGCGCGGTTCGTGTAAAAATACATATGCATATTGACACATTATTATGAAAATACAAAATAATTAGCATTTTGCATAAGCCACTGAGGCGGATGAAGCACCGAAAAGAGACAACTGCAAAAATTATTCAGAACGAATAAAAAAGCTTACACGGGGACTGGATATAATGGGAAATAAGTAAAACTGACACTCACTGCGAAGAACAAATGAAATTAGACGTGCAGAAAATGCCAAATTGAAAAATGTAAATTTTATAAAAACAAGAATATATTTCATTGTTGGCAGGAACAAATGCAAAGTAAATGAAAACAAAACATGGGATAGTCACAAAATATAATACAAGTGTCAACTGTTATTTTTCACAGGTCACAATATTAAATGCTTGTGTTGGAATTAAAGTGAAACTTGTGTGATTAAAGTTGGGCTGGATCCAGATTAAGGATGTTATTATTAAACAATCTGTTTAATTTGTATTTTTTCAGTGTCCTATCCTCCAACTACGGCATCTACTGGAATCTACTCCACGGACTCGCACTGGAGCGAGAACGGAATCAATGGCAACTATGCATACGGCGGATCCGATTCGACCCGATCCATTTATGCACCGGACAAAAGTGAGTAGCAAGTCGAAAATCCTATATTGAGTTCCAAGCACGCTATATCCCGAGCACTTTGTCACTCAACTCCTATTCACACAACTCTTTCGGCTTCTCTCGAACTATATTTCATTTCATGTCCACCATTTCATGGCCCTCCATTCAGATACGCGATACCAATCGAATTTGAACGAAATCGGTTTATCTGAACAAAAATCCTTCTTAGATAAGACCCAGAATCCGCTGGTGGCCAATGGCAATGGCAACGGGGCGGATGCGGAATCCAGCGGTGGCCAGAATCCTTCGGTGGCCATTGCGTGGCTGTTGGTCACCATACCGACACTGTTGTTAACAATCCGAACTGCGGTTGGTTCTAGCCCTAGGTTAAGTCTATGTTAGTTAACGCGATTCTAGCCTAGAGTTACATAATTTAACTATGTATGGGATTAGTTGTAAGGCTTCACGGTAATGTTTGCAAATAAAATATGTCTAATCGAATAGCCCCTAGAGAAACCAGACCCTAAATACAATCCGCCCTTCCCCACATATATATTCAAGAATATATATACTACATAGGCCCTACTGAGCCTGGTACGCATATGTATATCCATCAATCACAATTATCAGATATTCAGGAGCTAAGAAAAAACCAACCAAAGGGTAAATGCAATTTCATTTTGCTTTCAATGCTGTGCTTCAAACTGAGAAAGTTTCATAATTACTATCACATAATTGGTACATGATATGCCACACTCTATATAAATATATACATACACCCACATCTCTATATATTCGTGCGTTAAACGCTGCCAACACCCACACTTGCATATAGGATTACAAAAACCCCTAAAAGTTATGCTATAGACGCCTTAAGGATTGCAATGTTGAATGCAGATTAAACCAAGTTTAGACTTCTAAGCCCACACACATATCGATCATGGAAATTGTTTAAGTATTACATATATAGCCTTTAAATGCCAGAAGCAAAGAAAGTATATTTTTTGTAGATATAGCAATGTTAAGTTAGGAGATTAACTTTTTATTTATCCTTCTGTGGTCAAATAATAAAGAAAATATAATTTTATTATTAAATGAATCAGATTTAACAACGAAAACCTCTTTTTTAAATTAGTTTTTGGATTCTTATTAATGTTTTTCAATGTTAAACGTAACCTGCTTAAGTAACATGTAACTAAAAGCTTAATATTAATGTAAAGTGTTAAAAAATTAAGCTAAAGTAATGAAAATACCAAATGTGTTGCTTTAATTATAAATGGAAAATAAACAAAAAAAAGCATGTTAAATAAGGAAGAATATATTTGAATGCAGAGCTATGGACACAATTAAAAAGACACTGAAAATATATATACATATACATACCACTATATACAATTATAGACGAACTACACTTATGTAACATGTATTTAAGCATATAAAATGAGTTGTAACTGAGGCATTAAATTAAATAAAAATCTTGAAAAATACAAAATACAGCATACAATTGGTTGAGGGGGCTATCGCAAGGGGCATCACAAATGCAATTGAAATACAAATTAAATGCATCAGCAAGGAACAAAAATTATGTGTTAAATGCTTAATTAGCACCAAATTAAACAACGCCCCGGACAAACAATGCCAAACATTAATATTACAAATATAAATAAAAGAAGAAAAACTGCGAAACACATTAATAAACAATTAACCTGGCTGCAGTTATTAATAATTTTTTTGCATTTGTTTTGTACTTGTTTTTCCCCCCAGCTCTGATCTAGCAAGTGGCTGGAATTGGTAAGAACAACGACCAATTCACTCTGACCGCATTTTATTCGTTATGCAATTTTATTTTATCCATTTTTCATACGCATTGCAGCAACAGGAACCATAACAACGGTGGTACAGAAACTCGGGCAAAAAAAAAAAAAGAGTAAAATTGCGTAAAATTGCCATATTCAATTTAATTATTATGTGGACGTGTGATGTCTGGGGGTTTAACGGCTGGGATTGCGGCATGGCAGCGGCGGCGTGTCACTTGAATTTCAATGACAAAAGCACCAAACTTTAGCATGAATATTTCATTACAATTTTTAATCATTTGAAAGTGCAACCGGACTGCCATGGTTAATGAGCCATCCCAGCGGATGTGGGGGATCGTGATAAGTTCACGGATAATTGCACTGCACCATATCGATTTCACAATCTGATAATTTCTTTTGTAAATAACACGTTTGACACTTTATTTCGATACCTTTTTCCCACAAAAAGTACTACAGTTTGTATACTACGAGTCCCCTAATCCATTCAGTTGCAATTGCAAGGTGATCCCAGAAAAGAAAGTCAAACAAAATGCGGAAATTGAATTGAAGGCACCAAAATAGATGATGAGGAAAAAAAGGAAATGACATTGGAGAGCGGAACAAAAACGGAATCAACTCGAAATCGCGACATAAGATGTCAATTTCATTACGCAAAAGGACACTGCAAACGAGACTCATCTGCATAAAAGGGAAATTATTTTTTTCTACTTTTTTCCGTCCACTCCTGTTTGCGTTTTTTCCTGATTCTGTTTTCTGGAAATTGCAATCTGCTTGGACAAAGTTTTCGCCCAGAATGATGGCAAAAACGAAGTATAAATAAATTCAAGGAAAAACTGCAGAAATGAAGTATTCAAAACAATTTCCGCGATGCACTGCAAGTGGTTAGGGAAAATGTCACAAAATTTATGTAAAGTTGAGGACTTCAGCCAACAAAATAAAGGGCAGGACGAACTAAATTAACCTCAGAATAAATGGCCAAGAAAATCCAATTCAAATCTGTTCCAAATATTTGTGAAATTTTTAAAGAATTGGCAACAGAACTCGTTCCATTATTAATCCATTGCATTCGCTGCGGGCTCTTTTATTCATCGCCCATTGTTGTAAACTTTGGCCAACTTCTAGAAATTTGGCCCAAAATGGATGCAGCTGGGACTCCATACTTTTTTAGGCGGTTTTGTAAAAAAAGAAAAATAGTTAAAGTTGGGAAAAGAATGCATTTTGAATGCCGAACGAGCCTAAGAACAGAGATTTCCTTTTTTCGCAGATAGTTCTGTATGGAATAAGGGAAACATGTGAATACTGAAAAAAATTTACTACTTATTTTTGTTTTTTTCTAACCGATACAGATTAATTGTTATTTATCCAAGGACAAGGTACAAAAAATAATGCCATTAGAAAAGCTTCTGAAAAGCAATAACAAAAATATCATATAGGCAGCAATATAATGTTCAAGGAGAGCAAAGGAATCAGAATTTTGAGCCAAGGCATCCAAGTGAACAATGGCGAAGCATTGTCCAAATGACATCAATAAAATATTTAAACCCAACACAACCAGCACTCGAATAGGGCTAACAAGAGAAAGCGAATCGCACCGCAATTGTCCTTGTGCCACGCCCCCTCTTGCACAAGGATAAAAAGCAGAACTCCACTTGAGTAGCGCCGCGACAAACGAGCTTAACAGGATAAACAGGAATAAGGATGTGCATGAAGACTCACTTGAATCTGGAAATGGGAACAGGAGATGGAACTACGTCCTCTGTCGGAGCTTCTCGTCTCGGTTTCATCTTGACTTTGAAGTGGGAAGTTGGAATTTGAATTCAATTGCAATAGAATCCTTGCTTCAGCCCTTTAACTCCATCTTTTTTTTATTACGATTTTCCGGTTCGGTTTTCCGTGAATCATTGGTCGGGCCAGAAGGCGCCGGCAATCGTCTTAGACTTGTTAGCAACGTCTTTCAGCTGTTTACGGATCTTAGACGGTTGAATGGAGGAGCTCGGGGGGCAGCTTGGCTTAGGTTTGTTTTGCCATCGCCTTGATCCGCTCAAGAAATCGCGAAGGGCAATCAGGGGAAGGAGTGGCACAGCAGCTGGAAGGACTCCTAGATGGGTTGCCAATGATAGGACAGCAATTGCGATGGCTGGGAAAATGACCATTGGACGGGGGCTGTGGGGCCACTCAAAGAACTCGGCTGTCTTGGTTTCCATTTCACGTTTTTTGATTTCTCATAATTTGAGCATGGGTCGTCGATTCCATCTCCCTAATCATTCCCTTTTGAAAGTCCCGAATCGCTTGCTCAATTTTTGTGGGCTAAATTTACATATTTTAATCAGAAATTGTCGATTTCCCAGCGGCAATCAATTTGCTGGCTACGGTTCTGTTTCCCTTTCTGCCCCAGACCCAGTGGAGATTTAATCTTTGATTTCACTGGATCTCATTTGCAATTTAGTGCTTGAATTTGGAAGCTTTAGGCTGGCTTTAAACTGGAACTAATCCCCAAGTCTACTGAGTGGCCGCCAAGGTGTCCACCGCGAAATGATAAATGACTTGGGTGGAAATTCGTTTTAAAGTGGATTTCTATTAATAGTCCTTTGGTGCCCTTCCCCTGCTGAATACGGAGAGTCAATAAAGTATCAAATTACCTTTTAATATGCCACATGGCTTAATGAGCTAGCCACCCAACTGCCCAGTCCCCTCGCCAATGCCGTAAAATCGTCAGGTTAAGTGTTTTACAGCATTTTCCTGTGTACTTATGTTAATTTTTTTAGTGGGCCCGGAATCTGTTTGTGGCCTGTTAATGTGCTCAGGAAATTTCAGAATTTTAATGCAAATTTAATACAATTAGGCCAGGGCACGGAAGCGTCGAATTTAAAGCGGAAAACGAGGGGGCGGCTTGGGGCCGAGGTTGGAAAACCAATAATCTGCCTCGGAAAACTTTCTTTGTGGATGCCTACAGATATGTATAATAAAGCGAGATAGCGCCAGAGATAGAGCGAGATAAGGAGAGGAGGAAAACCCGAAAATGCAATTGGGACATAAATTTCCATTTTCGGTTTTATGCCCTCGAGTATTCGCAGTAATTTAACGCTAAGTTTTCTGCTCCGGCCGCTGCTTCCTTTTTTTTGTTGGTGTTGTTGTTGTGGTGAGGTCCTGGTTCTGGTCCCAGCCTGGCCACAATAAAATAGTAAACATGAATAAGAAAATAAGTCGCGGAAAAAATGAGGAGAGGAAATTTCTGCCAAGTGTCTTCGCTGTCCGTCGTCTGGGTCTGACCGCCACAGTTGACCGCCGTGGCATTTTGGTTCTGCGGAAAAGTTTTCCCCTTCAAAGTCCTGCCGGGGGGATCCTCAATTTACGCTTCTGTGAGTGGTTTTTGTTTTCCTATTTATCTTGGCCTGGTTAAGAGCCTTCTGCTCATCCCTTTCTCTGCTCCCTTTTTTTGGCGGCTATTTAATGTCATCATAAATACAAATTCAAGTTACTGAAAGCTTCTGCTCTGGCTTCTAGTTCTGTTCTTCAACTTGAACTTCACGCCTTTGCCTCTCTATTTATTTTTGTGTTTGTTTTTTTATCCTGTGGCCTTACTAAGTTACTTTTGGGGGCTTTAAGCCTTTGTCCTGCTGCAATTCTATTAAGCGGGCCAGCCGCAGCTTTCCAGACCCGCTGTATTGCCTATAAATTTCAGCTGTTATCAAGCAAGCCCGTCCACTTATTCATACATGTACTACGGCTTGCAGCTGCTCGGCGGGAGACTGGAGTTCCCGTCCGGCTCCAGAATACATTATTTAGCATTTTTGCCCAGCAGAACATAAAACTATCAGGCAGTAGAATGGCTGCAGCGAATATTAAAGGCTGGATAGACTAAAGAATGCTCTGAATCAACTGAAAATCAAGTTAAAATTGTTTTTTAATTAATAAGAAATTTATTTCTCAAACTTTCTAATGAATGTCCTTTAAATTGTTACCTTGTCTTTTATAACACATATTTCATATTTCAATTGTCCTTGACAGGGCATACGAAGACCGCAATACTCTGCACAGGAATCCCCTGTGTAGTCAACGGAAAACGGATGCACTTGGGCCTGGGCCCGGGCCATGTCCTTGCACTTGAGCAGGACTAACAAATGCAATCAGCGAAAAAAGTCGGCAACAACAAAGGCAAGCAACCTCCATTTCCGAAGGATGGTGTCTCCCTCTTCGGAAGGAGAGCCTAAAACTAAAGCGCTACAAGTGCCGACTATGCTTGCATTTTGTT